CTTGGTGGTTTAGGACAATTTGGGATCATAACTAGGGCAAGAATTGCCCTAGAAAGAGCTCCACAAAGGGTAATTTTCCCAATAGTCCCTTTCTAGTTTTTGTGGGCCTCATATATTATATTTTCTTGGTACCTTTTATAACGATATGACTTGAAAAGACCATGACTAATTAGCGTAAGGATTGGGACCATATTTATTTATTTTATTTTTTTATCACACCATTCAAATGAATGTCTTGAAGACTCTATGGATCGATCTTTTTCCTCTCCTTAAGTTAATTCTAATAATTTTTTTTTTCTAAATATGCGAATTACTGAATTTAAAACTTTGAATTATTTATATTTGAGGGGTTGTGAAAAGAATATAGTATTTTCAAACAAATTAGATTTATACTTGTGGTTATAAAAGTACCAAGAATTAGAATCATGATATGGGCATCGACTAGTTAAGTTAAAATGTATTGGTGTGATTTTAGACTTACATAGTCTATCGAATCGTGATTGGAGCAAATAAAAGAAAAACTTCTATTAGATCATTGTTAGGACCCCAAAATACTAGACCAAAACATTTTGAACGGTAGTTTCAATCATGTTTGGTGAAATTCTAAAAATCCATGAATTCCTTTAGCTGTAGGGATATAGGGGTAAGAGTTGAGGGGCAAAATCCCATATGAAATAAAGATAAAAATATAGATCAATCTATAAGGATTTAGACCACTCCTCTTAAAAGGTTGATCTTTTAAGATAGAATATCAAATCTTAAAATGGTATCAAAGTCTATTAATCTTAACGAGCGATTTGATCCGATTAAGACTAAAAAAAAATGTACACCAATTTCAAAGATTGATCCGCTCAAATGAGTCATCATCTTACAGGGACAAGTTAAAAGATAAAATCTCATATCGAATAAAGATAAAAATATAGATTAACTTATAAGGTTTGGGCTATTTCTTTTAATAAAAACTGACCATTTAGGAGAAACCTCAAATTTTAAGGAAGTAATCTAAATGGAGATGCAATTATATTATTTAAACATATAAGCACTCTTGTATATTGCGTAAGTTCCCGTTTTTCTTATAGACATTGAGATTGGACAGTATAAAAAAAATTAAAAATTAAAAAATAACTTCTTTTTTTGATACTGTATATTAGTATTTAATCTTTCTCACCCAACGCGCCATAAATATACATAAAATCTTGTTCATTTTCGTAATAATTCTTGTTTTATCCAGGCTAGGTGGATTCGAGTATTGTATTCGAATTTTTCAAGTTTTACACAGGATCAGGAGTACCTTATCTCTTTGCATGGACAACCAGACACCCAAAAATTCGATTATGTCGAAGGTTTTGTAATTGTTGATGAAGGAATCATCAACAATTGGAGATCATCGTTTTTCTCCTCAAGTAATCCTTTGAAAGTTTCTTCTTTTAATGCTGATGGGGGTGTTTTATACTGCTTGGAAATTGCCAAGAATTATCAAGAATCAAATGCTGTTTCCATAGATCAGGTATCCACTCTCAATTTATTTGACCACGTCTAGACATTTAATTTGTTGGACATATAAAAAAATTTAGGCCGCGATTGGTTTGCTGTTTTCGGATCATTTTCCGTTTTCCGAAAATGCGGAAAACGCGTTTGATCCGTTGTTTTCGATAACACATTTTCGAAAATCAGTTAAAATTTATAACTGAAAACGCAAAATGACTTTTTATTGTTTTTAGCCTTTTCAGTTATAAATGTCGAAAACGCTCAAAACGCTCAAAACGGGTCGTTTTTGGGAAAAACTAAAAATCGTTTTGAAAACGAAAATGGAAACCAACCGCGCCCTTATTTATTTATATGTTTGATGGAGATTAAAATTACATTTTTAACAAATTTTGATAAAATTTTCAGCACATTCAAAAATTTGAAATGTGCTGAAATTTTGTACGTCCCATAAAATGTGTAGTTAATAGGTAAAATTATTGTTGACTTTGATTTTGATAAAAATCTAAATTTTAATTTTATCAAATAGGGACTTATTCTATAAGCATGGCTGTCATTATTTACAGTAATTGAACACATAAAAATTACTTGGGACATTTCATTACTTAGAAATTGAAAGAATTAAATAAGCAATTATTCTATGGGCGCATAATATTGTACATAAGGGTGTCCAAAATGGATACCCCGCTCACAGGCCCCCCTCGACCTGCTCACAGGCCCCCATGTGTCCCTTAATGTACCTGTAGAATAACTCATAATAAGAGCGTCTTAGTTGCACCCACTTGTTATATGGAGTATGGACCCGTGTCATTGCATGCATGTTTTACATATGCAAGTTTCATAATATTTTCGTAACAGACAAAGTGAATTACTTAATTTAATTTTTGAAAAAAAAAACCCACATTTGCGTCTTTTTCAGGAAGTAGAGGATCTGCTGAAGAAATTAAATTTTATACCCGGCTCGATCTTCACAACTGATCTTCCATATGTGGATTTCTTGGACCGGGTTCACAAGGCAGAATTGAAACTCCGGTCCAAGGGTTTGTGGGATGTACCACATCCATGGCTTAACCTATTTGTACCCAAGTCAAGAATTTCTGACTTTGACCAAGGGGTCTTCAAGGGCATTTTGGGAAAGAAGACTAGTGGTCCAATTCTAATCTACCCCATGAACAAAAACAAGTAAGTTTTGTGTTCATATATATTCTTTCATATGAGAAATATCAAGCCTTAAATGATTCTCGAGGCATTTCATTACTTAGAAATTGACAGAATTAAACGTTGATCATTATATTAGTCTCGCATATAAAATACATAGTACTAATTATAACCAAGTTTATGTGCGTGTAGGGATATATAATTAAACGAAAGTCCTTTGATTAACACTTGCATGGGTTGTGTCATACCATGGGTTTGGAAACCATTCTTGCGTGTGTATTTTTATTTTTTTGAAAAAATGAACCAAAAAATAAAATAGAGTGGTGAGTCGAAAGGCTAGTCATACCTTGCGAATTGAAGCACCTTAAAAAAAAAAAAAAGTATCGACTTTTTATTTGACACCTCAATGAATTTTAAATTGAAGATGATAGATGAAACAAATAATTAAAATGGTCAACTAGCATAAAAAGAACACCTTAGTGTACAACGCCCTAAATTTACATATAACTCCAAGAAAGATAGTAGGTCAAAACAAACGTTTCTTTGTTGACATTCCACTAGGTCCGAAACATCAAATCCATATTAGAGTCTTTGTGAGTTATTATATCATTAAGTTCACATTTGTCCGTATATTTAAAAACTCATTTATCTTTACACTTATTTTCAATTACACATTTTACGGAATCTACAACTTATTGATTTTTCAATAATATATTTTATCAACTCAAAATTTATAAAAGAAAATTAAGTTTTTGCTAAATCAAACAAATGCTATATTTCATTTTGGATACAATTTATAAATTCAGTCAAAGTCAAATATTAATTTCAACTATATATTCATAATTATTAATAATTATTATTCATACATTTTATAGAACGTACTATTTCTATTTATAATTTGCCAAATTGAGGCCAAATGTGTTGTAGTGTTGAGTTTGAATTTCTCAAAATGAAGTGTACCAAGGAAACTTTTTAACTAATCCTATTTTTCTTCATGTCTATCATTTTAGTACACTTTATTATCCATTTCGAAAAAAATCAACAAATTATTCTTTTCTACCACCGCGCTAACTACCCATCACCCTTATCCCCATCCTTGCAAAGGTAGCACTTCTAATTTTTAAGAACTGTCATTCAAGTTTTTCACTTTTTCTTTCTTTTCTTTTTTTTTTTTTTGAAAAATGTCCCTTAAATTTTTGAATAATGCTACATGTACTGAATTTTTTTACCTAATCTTTTACCTACTACTCACAATAGAAGTGGGGTTCACGAGCCCTCATTTTTAAATTTACGTTGGCCTACCATACATTGTAAGAGGGGGGACACGATTCGACAACCCTCATCAGTACATATATATTTATCAACCAAATACTTCAATTATAGAGTAATATGAAGCTAGATAATTTCTGGGTGATTGTCATCGTAAGAGTTATTAACGAGAGTATTTTTATAACAAAAATTTATGACAATTCACCGACAGCTCTAAGTCATCAGTAGTTATCGACTAGTTATCACCGCAAGTACCAATGTGCAACCTCAATAGGATAAATTAAGCATGTATGAGATATGTTGCATTTACTGATTCTTGTAAAATTTTGTTGGAACTTAGCATTACTTACCAAATTTGTCATTTTTCCCCCTTTTCAAGCTACATAATTTGAATTGTTCTCATTACATAATTTGAATTGTTCTCATATTGTAACATGTATGTGCACAGGTGGAACAATAAAAGTTCAGCGGTAACACCGGATGAGGATGTCTTCTACTTAGTAGCGTTCCTCAGGTCAGCATTGGATGATGGCATTGAAATCCAGACTCTTGAATACTTGATGAATCAAAACCATCAAATCCTGCGATATTGTGATGATGAAAAAATAAACATCAAGCAGTACCTTCCTCACTATACATCGGAGCAAGAATGGATACACCACTTTGGAAATAAGTGGGCACAATTTTCAAAAAGAAAAATGGAATTCGATCCCAAGTATATTTTAGCAACTGGCCAAAGTATATTTAAACCCTCTTTTAATCCTAAAAAAGCTTCAAGGAGATAAAAATGTGATAAATTTGATTTGATATAGGGGTTGACAGATTACTCCCAATGTCGAGCTCGCATAAATAAAATATTTGACAGTTTTGCTACTTTAACCAACAGAGTGACCGAATTGCCACTTAGAAATTCTGTGTTGGTTGGTGGAATTTTTTTTTTCACCAACCAATTGTGATTAGCCATTTGGCCATTCTGTGACCCAGGAAGTCATCCTGAATGTTACCATGGCAAAACTCAAATATTTGAAGGAAGAAGTGGCCCCACTACCCAAATTTGAGGATCTGTTAAAACTTCTAGTGTTCCTCTCCTGACTCTGTGGCACTGCCCATAAAAATGGTATATACTTAGTCGAGTTTGGTAATTTGAGATATATGGAATATATATATAAATATATATTGTAATTTTTATTGTAAAATATCTATTATATATAATTGTAAAATATCTATTATATATATAATTGTAATTGTAAATATTTAAGAAAATGTACATCAGTGTTTTATGTGGAAATTGTAATTATTTATTGGGCCAATTTTAAGAATGTTTAATTTTAAGGGTATGAGTTGAAAAGTGTTAACTCATTTGAATTTAGTGTCAACTTGTCTATTATACCTTTAATGAAAAGCTACATTTTGAAATGGTATTCTCGACATTTGATTTTTTTATCAATTTGTCACGAATTTTGAGAAGTGGCTTCCATGAGAAGCTGTTGACACACAAAAACTTCAGCCCAAGTCGGATAGCCCAAGGAATGAAGCCCAATTGGAAGATCCCCAAAAATCAAATAGCTCAAAGAACGAACCAATCAGGCAATGCAGGATAAAAGCCCAAATAGGGAAGCCTATGAACGCGGTAATACCATTGCCCAAGGTTGCAAGTCGCCCAAGATTTGAGCGAATGAATTGCCATGCAGTCGCCCAAAGCTATGACCCTGCTCTCGTCCAAAAATTCGAGTCGCCCAGCATCTTAACAAATATAAGATGTTATGGTTACCTAAAAGTGCAGTTAATGAAGCAGTTATTGAGTAGTCCTATCACGTTCCACGATTCAAGGAATTCAATTGAAAACGGTTGAACGACAAAAGTAATTGCAGCAGTTAGAGAAAGCAGTTCCACGACAAGTTGGCCACTACGAGGAAAGTTGACAGTTATAGAGCGATCAAGCAGTTTTTAAGCGGTTGATCACAAAGAGATTATCCAGTGAGTATAAAAGGAAGAAAAGACATAAAGCAAAACCCTCGAATCAAACACTCTCAAATGGAGAATATGTAACTTTAAATTTCTTAGTTTAAATTTAAACACTTCTTTTTTCAGTAACTCGTGTGCTTGCTCCCCTTGGAAGCATCCTGTTTTTATTTTCCAATTGTAAAGTTATCGCCAATAAAAAACACTCATTTTTAGGACTTTGTCTCAAGAGGTTTGTCCCTTACACAATCGTCTGATCCCTTTTTAATTGTTAGCGACTAACCCGCGCGNTTTTTATCAATTTGTCACGAATTTTGAGAAGTGGCTTCCATGAGAAGCTGTTGACACACAAAAACTTCAGCCCAAGTCGGATAACCCAAGGAATGAAGCCCAATTGGAAGATCCTCAAAAATCAAATAGCTCAAAGAACGAACCAATCAGGCAATGCAGGATAAAAGCTCAAATAGGGAAGCCTATGAACGCGGTAATACCATTGCCCAAGATTGCAAGTCGCCCAAGATTTGAGCGAATAAATCGCCATGCAGTCGCCCAAAGCTATGACCCTGCTCTCGTCCAAAAATTCGAGTCGCCCAGCATCTTAACAAATATAAGATGTTATGGTTACCTAAAAGTGCAGTTAATGAAGCAGTTATTGAGTAGTCCTATCACGTTCCACGATTCAAGGAATTCAATTGAAAACGGTTGAACGACAAAAGTAATTGCAGCAGTTAGAGAAAGCAGTTCCACGACAAGTTGGCCACTACGAAGAAAGTTGACAGTTATAGAGCGATCAAGCAGTTTTTAAGCGGTTGATCACAAAGAGATTATCCAGTGAGTATAAAAGGAAGAAGACATAAAGCAAAACCCTCGAATCAAACACTCTCAAATGGAGAATATGTAACTTTAAATTTCTTTGTTTAAATTTAAACACTTCTTTTTTCAGTAACTCGTGTGCTTGTGCCCCTTGGAAGCATCCTGTTTTTATTTTCCAATTGTAAAGTTATCGCCAATAAAAAACACCCATTTTTAGGACTTTGTCTCAAGAGGTTTGTCCCTTACACAATCGTCTGATCCCTTTTTAATTGTTAGCGACTAACCCGCGCGAAACAATTTGGCACGTCCGGTGGGACAGTGGTGTTTGGTGTTGAAGATACAAAAGGTGAAACAATATGCCTCAGAGATTCGATAAGGAAGCAGCAAGTCAGGGAGGAGTCAAGTCTGTGATCGAGCGATATGAGGAGCAGCATAGCTCTCCACGAACAGATGGACAGAATCAGAGCAGTAACAGTCGTTACAAATCAATGTCAGAGTTGAGTCCTCGAACTATGCGTGCACTACTTGGAGAACTCACACAAGATGTCGTTGAACAGGTAAATCTTCGAAATATTCATAATATGGAAAGATTTACCCAGAATGGGAATGCACATTATGACAACATGGCCAAATAACTGAATACTTTGAATGAAATAATGAATAAGTTAGTAGGCCAAATATGTCAACTGGTTATGCCTCTTGCAAATCATTTTCAAACTAGGACAATTGTGGGATATAATCCCCCAATCCTAAATCCAAGTCAAGGGGTAGAACCACATTTCGGTCCCTCTACTTCAAACCAAGGGGATGGTGTAATGCCAAATCAGAATAATGGTAGTGGTACACCTAACTTGGGGGGTAATCCAAATGTAAAAGATAATGTCCTAAATAACGGGCAGAATACCACACGTGGTAATGAGGGAATAAATGTTCAGGCTAATGGTAACAATGGCCCAAATCATGGTAATTTTATTCCTAATCAAGGACCAAATATCAGGCCTCAAACAAATCAACTGGTCAACCAACCTGTAGGGATTCCATATGACCCCAACGTCATGTTGAGGAAACAGATTATGGAAATCGTACAGGACTAGATTGCTTTTGGGGTACGTCCTGTCATTAGGCCAACCTACACAAAGTCATATCCTGATTGGATAGACCAAGCATATCCATGGCCTAGAGGGTATAAAGCACCAGAATCTCACTGTTTACCGGTTTAGGGAAGGTGTCTAGTCTAGAACACATAGGACGATTCACACTGCAAAGTGGTGACGTAACTGATTATCATAAAATGAGGTTTTTCCCTAATTCATTAACAGGAGTAGCTTTCTCCTGGTTCATCAATTTGCCAGTGAATTCTATTCAAACATGGCAACAATTGGAACAATTATTCCACGCTCAGTTTTATAAGACTGAATCTGAAGTTACTTTGGCCGATTTGGCGAACCTATGTCAAATGCCAAACGAATAGGCAGAAGGTTTCCTCCAAAGGTTCAAGACAGCAAGAAGTAAATGTTTTGTACATCTGCTCGAAAAAGAGTTTGTCAAAATCTCTCAAAGTTGTTTGAGCTTTGATTTAAAAAAGAAATTTCAAGATAAGGAATTTCCTGACCTTTTCCAATTGAGCGCGAACGTGATTAGGTATGAACGATTGATAAGAGAAGAAGAGCAGATAAAAAATTCTAGTAAGGGGACTTATTATAGAGACCCAAATTTTATTGTTCATACCATCAATAACGAGTCATACGATCAGACCGAAATGTGTTTGGCCGAATTAATCAAAGGAGACACGTATACTTGTCCTATAATGGCTAAGCCTAGACCATTGGACAAGGATGAGCCTATGAAAGATGAAAACGTAAAAACTAGAACGTTCTCATTCGATGTAACCAAAATTGACCTTATATTTGATAAATTATATAAGGCTAAGCAGATAAAGCTGAGCGATAAGCATAAATTGTCAAACCCTAAACAAATTAAGGGTAAAAAATATTGTAAGTGGCATAATGTATGATCACATTTGACTAACAATTGCTTGGTTTTTCGCCATGTGTTACAGGATGCCATTGAATCAGGACGAATTACGTTCGATGATAAGAAGAAGATGGCAGTGGACGAAAATCCTTTTCCACAGCCACTTGGAGTGAATATGGTGACGTCTGGTTTCAAAAACAAGTTGCCAAAATTCAAATTGGTTATAGATGATAGAGAAGAAGACGCTGGACCACATCCCAGTATCTTCGAGCGTATTAAAGGGAAGGAGCCAAAAAAGGATGAAGACGTCTTGTGTGCAAGATGTAAAAGAGAAGTGAGTGGGAATACGGAGAAACCAGGGATATGGCAGCATCTCAATTGCCCTACTTTCTTCCCAAACACTCAGCCTGGTAGAGGGCGAGGTACATCGTTCTATAAGGGACCGCCTTTTGAGAGGCAGTTCAGGCCAATAAATAATGGGAGGACATTCAGGCCGCAAACTCGCCGATCAAATGTATGGCATTCGTTCCAGTATAATGCAGGAAAGGTGATACCCTTCAACGAGATGACTAAAACCCAACAAAGGCGTTTCCAACGAAATTATGGACGAATGATGAGGCAACAACAAGGAGTGCCACGTCCTAAGGCGCCTAAACTACTCGAGGTAGCCAATCAAAATGTTCTCAAAGATAGTGAAGAGACTGGTACAGATGAATCAATGAAAGAGTTGCCAGAAACTTGTTCTGGGAGATCGAAGTTTGAGCGAGACAGAAAGGATGGAGAAGATCCAGATCAGCCCCTTACTATTCAGTTCAGTACGTTACTTCCTGTTGTGGCTAATAACTATTTACTAACCAATGAGTTCAAGAATAAAGAGAAAGAAGAAGAAAAAAAAGAGGATAACGAAGGAGAAGCATACGTGCTGGAATATGAAGAAGGCCAGACTTCTAGAGAGGCCTACAATGGTGAAGAAGATGATGGTATGACAGATATTGAAGAGGAAATCGACTTAGAAGCAGAAAGAAGAAGGAGAGGAGTATCGTACAATACTCTGTTGAAGCAACTACATCGAGAGGGAGTTCGTGAAGTAGATTTATTGGGAGAACCATCTGAGCGTTCTTTCAATTTTTACGTGCTGTACGGGACGCCCAAAAGGAAGAAGAGAGTGTCTCGCTCTAAAAAGTATGGATCACCTCCAAGAATAATGCCTCCTCCCACAGGTTGGGTAACGGACGAGGAAGCATCAGAAAACAATAAAAAGAAAATTCAGGAGACAGAGGCTCAATGCGATATGCTACACGTTGACTTATCACAAAAGGATAACTCGACAGAGAACAAGCAGGAAGTAGAAATAGAAGCTGTCGAAAATATTATTTTTAAATGGCCAGCCATGAAATTGACTAAACACTTGAGGCTGTTGTACGTTAAAGCTCTAGTTAACGGCATACATGTAGCAAAAGTGTTTGTCGATAATGGAGCAGCTATAAACACCATTCCATCTAAGATGATGAGAAAATTTGCAAAGACGGAAGGGGATATGATTCCAACAGAAGTCATCCTTACAAGTTTCAATGGAGGATCAACTGCAACTAAGGGAGTTATGCCATTGGACATAACTATAGGTACAACTGCTAGGACCACAGTAGTCTTTGTAATAGATGGTCCTACTAGTTACAACGTATTACTAAG